AACAGGAAAGCACAGAACCATCAAGATTGGAAGCCTCGTCGGATTCCGCAGTCTTTGAAATCTTCCCGAATATCAAGATTGATCCACTTTCTGTGGCTTTGTCAAGTGGCGATGACAAGATTGTCAAAATCAAACGCCCTTCACCATTCACGCCTATTCCGGAAGAAGTGCCATTCGGATCACAACTTATTATGTATGGGGCCGCTCGTCGTGGAATGATTGGTGTCCGAGTTCCGTGAAGGGGGGGAAACATATGACAACCAAGGCAGCATGGAACCCACAGGCCAAACAAGGCTTACCTTTTCAGGGGACTGTGGTGCGCTGACCATTGACGCCCAGGGGCGCCCATGGAGCATGCACATGACAATTCAAGGCGTTCCGGGTAATAATCCAACAACGTGGACATCCCATGGAGCCTTGTTCTGTAAGGTGGTCGACGCCCATGCTTTCTATTTTGAACACATGCAATCTTCTCCGGCTAGAATTTCTAGCGAGGGCCTCGCCTTCTCTATTTCGCTGACTGGATGCTTTGATCCAAAGGCTGGGCGCGTTCCTCCGGTGGAGTTTGAAAACGAGGCTCCAGGAGGTGCTTTCTTTCGTGGGGTTTGCCCTGCGTTGCGTATTCCAGTGGAATTTGAGGACGACAACGATGGAACAGACGAGAAGAAGACCGAGTCGAGTCGAATTGATTGACTGATAGTCCATCTACGCGCTATTACATTTAGGTTTCCACTTGGCTCGCTATTTGGAGCCTATTTGGAAGGGAAAGAAACAAGCGAACTTATTCTATTGCGATAGCCATAACTATAGTTCAGTCATGGCAACTCTCAAGAATGATTGAAGTGGCCAAAGATAAATCACAGCACTATGCATACAACAAGTCTACAGCTCCTCTGTAGAGTAGCCAATCCAGAAGAAACTTCATCGAATTCTTAGTCATGGCTGGCACTACATGAAGGACGTGTTTTGCAAATATCTAGCTACTAGTATGCAATATTAGATCCACAACAGACCTAACTGGATAAAGTCGGGTCACGTTGGCCCACCCTTTCCAAGGAACATAGAAACTCAGCAGGGACAGTCACACCCACACACCGACTGGGTGCAGTCAAAAGACGACCCAAAAGGCCCCTGACAAGCTCCCAAGCCATTCTTGCCAATGCATGTACCATTGACGGTACAAAGAGGTTCGGGTATCACACCAGAGAGCAGCCTGTTGCCCTCAATCCAGAAGCTGTACAGCGATTTCTGCAAGGAAGCCAGCTCCACTGGAACAGTTCCATGGAGGAGATTGTTTTCCATGGTAAGTCTGCCCAGTGATGTCAGAAGCCCAAACTCGGAAGGAATTGTGCCAGTGAACGAGTTGTTTCCCAGAGAGAGATACTCCAAGTTGGAAAGGCTAGAGAAAGCACGGGGAATTGTACCAGAAAGCTGGTTTGACTCGAGGACTAGCCCTTGCAGTGGAGGGCGACCCAGCTCAGAGGGGAGAGCGCCCGTGAAGAGATTGTGGCGCAGGATAATGTGGGCTGAAGTAAGAAGACCAAGCTCACTAGGCAGAGTCCCCTCGAGAAGATTGCCATACAAAGAAAGAAGCCAAAGCTTCGAGAGCGATCCAAGCTCACTGGGGAGAGTCCCTGAAAGTTGATTCCCCAACAAAGCCAGCCATTCTAGAGATCTTGCCTGTCCAAGCTCTGTAGGAATAGAGCCTTAGAATGAAGACAAGCACCATGTAATGAGAACTTAGATTGAGTAGCGTTGGCAGGAGTAAACATGAGACAAACAAGAAACTTACCAGTCAGAGCACAGTCATCCATCAAAAGCCACCTCAGCTTTGGTAGAGTGCTTATAATTGAGGGCATTGTGCCTCCTAACTTCTCATTGCGACCAAGAACAAGACTATCCAGAGTGCTAAGTTGCCAGATTTCATTAGGAATGGACCCTTCTAGCTGGTTGTCATTCAGCACAATAACTTCAAATGATGATATGTTGCCCATTTCCTTTGGTATGGATCCAGACAGCCCAGTCGAGGAAAAGGCGAGCCCCCGCAACTGCTGGAGCTGCCCAATATAGCTAGAAAATGAGCCATACAGAGGATTCAGACCAGCAGAAAGAGTTTGGAGTGAGGTCAAGCTGTAAAGTTCCTCTGGCAGAGAACCCTCAAGGTTGTTCTGATCCAGCCACAGATGAAGATAGCGCCCTTGCTTGTCACATTGGCTGCCAGGTAGAGGCTCCAAGAAGCCTGCTAGGAAGCCAGGGTAGAGCTTTCCTATGAATGACTTGAGAGCAAATTCTTGATTTTGAAACCATGCACATTCATGCAGATGGTAGCTTCCCCACCCTGTATTGTTGGACCATTGAGTTGGGCCAGCCGTCGCATAGAAGACAGTCATCAGAGCATGCCTTTGAAGAATCCGCCAATCTGGATAGTCATAGACAAAAGGATCCTCTTGTAGCCATTTAAAAGCTTGGTATTGTGCTGAATCATTGTCTTCCATTCCAGTGATAGTTTGCTCAGGGAGCAAGGACAAGAGGAATGATTCCAGTGAGGTTGGGGCTAAGGTTGGTGCAAATGTTGGCATAGCATCTTTGACGGCTTCTGGCTTTGGCCGCAGCCCAACTCCCAGACTGATGGTGATGATGATAATAATTGAGCAAAAAATGATTGCGTAGCCTACTCTTTGGCAATGTCTCTCCTTTTCCTGTCTGGCAGTTTGTTGTTCCAGTACTGCATCATCAACTTGCTGGGCTTCTTGCAACATGAACATGCTGGATTCAGTAATGGCTCTAGCTTCAACCAGTCCATCGTCACTGGTGGAAATTGTTGGCATTTGGATAGCATTAGTGGCTGCAGGGACAACAGCACTAGCATCGTCCATGAAAGCTTGATTAGTCGAAACTGTATTTTCGGGTGGGTTTAGGTCAGAAGAAAATTCTTTAGAAGTATTGTTCTCCTGTGTTCCTGTAGTAATATCATTGTCATGGGCAGAATTGTTCCTTTGAGGAGGAACCAGCACTCCACATTTGGTTATTGTGGCATCTGTAGACTCTCGTAATGGATCTGCTTCTTTTCTATTCTTGCCAAGCCCACAAGACGTGGACACAGAAGAACGAGCACCAGTTGTGGCGCTAGACGTAGCACTTGCAGCCACATAATATACTCCATGCTGAATAGGAGCAACCACCATAACATTCTTGCTGGCGATCGTTTCAGGGTTGAGATTGCCTCCAGGAGGAACGGTGGGAAACGCCCCAGATGTGGCATTCCCAGCATTGCCTCGAGCTGCAGCCTTGGCTACCCTTTCTTCAGCAGATCTCCTGAGACCACGACTTACTGTTGTTGTAGGTGCAGGCTTGGTCCTGGCATCGGTGGATGTACTGGCCTTCTTGGCATCCTCTTGTCGTTGTTGACTCTTCTGCAAGACTGCTCCAGGAACGCCTGCACCAACCATAGTACTGCCTCTGCTGGCTCTTGCTGCTTCTTTTGCTGCATTTTCTTTGGCAATTCGTTGTAGGCCACCGCTCAACGTTGCAATAGAAGGGTTCGATGCAGCAGGGGCAGGGTTGAAACTCGCAGGGCTGGTTGTAGTCGCATTTTCGGGTGGGTTTACGTCAAGAGAGGAATCCATGTCACTAAACGGAGATGCCATGGCTGGAAGTTTCAAATTGGGAGATTCAATGATATTGTGCTCATCACTGTTCGTTTCCTCGCCGTCGGTTGGAGCTTTGGCATCATCCGTATTGGTTACGTTAGCTGATGGTTGTGGCCAGGCTTTTTCTGCAGAGGTTGGGGCCGTATCCTGGGTTCCTCGATCTGTAGCCAATTTCGCTTCGTCGTTCATGGCTGGGATGATATGATATTGGTATCGTTTGAGCTGGAGAGAGCTACCAGTAGCCGGTACCGGTAATGGTGTTCTGTGGTAGTGTCTCGAGCCTTGGTCTGCTTCTTCGGCTACAATATTATGAGATAATATGGCAATATTGCTATCTAGCACGATCTTTGTCTTCAAGACTCTCGCTCTGATCCCCTGGTTGCGTCGATAAGCCATAATTTCACGCGTTTGCGGGTAAATTGAACATTAAGACTCTAAACCCCCATCAAGACTGCATGCAGCATGACAATCGCGTCTACCTTTTGAGCCGACTAATAAGCGGCTTGCCCTCTGCGTATGACGCATGAAGCATCGATGACGTTTTGTGTTTTGTGGCATGAAAAACTCATGAAACCTCGCACAGCCAGCACAGACTTTTTTGATTTTGCATTGAGACGGTCACTATGGTTATCTGAGGGCAAAGCAAGCGAGCAAAGGAGAGCCTCCTTGGATGTTTGTGTCTGCCCTACGCGTCTACGGTCTGATTAGGATCCCGTTTTCAACAATATCTATTATTAACATTCAGTTTCCAGCATGCATTCAACAATCTTGTACATTTTGAAAGCGCTGCGAAGCATTTGCCTGCTCTTCGTCAACAAAGCTACCGGTATCATTTTCCGTGTCACCTTTGGTCGGATCCAAGCCGTAATAGTCGCGGATTTCCGTTTCGTTTGGAAGACTACCGGCCTTGGAGTCGAGAAAGGCAGGCATGAAATTCATTCCAAAAGCAAACGCGGTGAGCGTTGGAGGAGCTCTCGCAGCAGTTGCACCCGGCAAAATGGAGGGCTGGACCATGATTTGCAGGACCAGTTGCACAAACCAACCAAACCAAACGGAGCAGACGAATGCGCCGCCGTCCTTTGGTTTCATAATGCCAAAGTACCTCAGCATTCCCCAAATGGCGTTGAAGATTTGGACCGCTCCCACTGTCATGGCCAAGGATGGGTATCGAATGAGCAGCATTGCAACTTTGACAAAAGCACCGTTGGGCAGCGGACCGCCTCCAAGCTTGTAAATCCATTCAAGATGAGCTCCTACCACCAGCTGCGCCATTCCGCCCAGGAACAAGACAAAGCTGTAAAACAAGAGCCGACCCTTGTAATAGCTTGCAGGGCGTTCTTCTGGTTTGCCCTCTTGGAATTTCTGCAACGAGCCCAACAATAGCGAGATGGAACCCAACATTCCAAACCAATAGGCAATGATAGCAATTACTCCCATGGAGGCAAGTAGTTTAGCGTTGGGTTCTGGTAGATCGTCTTGGTCCGAGATGGACCCCAAGGGTACGTCAAAGTTGCTTCCCTTTGAGGCAACTCGGGTGACATTCATACATGTGCTGACAGTGAGAATGTACGCCGTTTGGACAAAGATAGACACCGCCAATGTAATGCGCTTGTTGCCAGCATTGTGGAAGGCTGCCGCATAGCCAACAAAGAGGGCGAGAACTCCAATCAAGACGCAACAAAGGTACCCGAACAAAGTCGAGAAGGGGAGACCAGTGGTGACGGTGATCGGGTCGCCAAACTCATCTTTGCCTCCGTTGATCAAACCAGCGATCCAAGTCAGGGGCTGAACGATTTCCGGGAAACCTGTCACCATCAAAAGGCACCCAAGCTGCTGCACCTCCTTGTCGATGCGGACTTGCCCCAACAGTTTCTTCGTTTTGGCGTCGAGCGTCTGCATCGTCTTTCTTTGTATTCTTGGGAGAGGTTCTTCCGCAAAAGTATATCGAAATCTACTTTATTAAGTAGTGCTCCTGGGGTGCTACGCATCCGGTCGGTAGATCCTGTTTTGCCAGCCTCCTGGATTGCTCGTCAGTGTCCAAATCGAACCTAACTTGGTTCTAGGAGAAGGCCCAGAGAAGTTTGTTGGACAAATCGTTTCTGATCAGCAGCTCACGCTCGTTATGGGTGCCACAAGGACTGTTTATGCCTGCACTGGTCCCAACAACAATGTTCAGTCCACCTCTTCAAGATCCAACTCACAGAGCCCAGTTAATGGGATTCGCCGTCAAAACTGCCTCCTTGGAGATGCATCCTGGACCTTCCCAATGGGGCCGTTGCTGAGTTAACTGCCAATGTCGTTGTCGGTACATTGGATGTGGGTCGTCTCGCAGCCTCGACTGAAGTTGGAGAATGCACGTACACCGAAGAAATTTGCAGGAGGCAAGAGACCCCAAGGCGCTACAGGCAACCGCAGGTTGATCGCTCCCCGAGGCTTGCTGGGGCCTCGACTTTCTACCCGCTGGGGACAGTTTAGTTGGTTGAGGACCTCGACAAGCGCTTGTGACCACTTTGAAAGCAGCGGCTGATACTATTGTTGCGTGTGAAGCATGGGATGCCGTCAAAACCCGGCATCTGCAATCGGCGGCCTCATTGCCGATGTTCTCGATATGGTGTTGCGTTTGGACCATCAGCTTCAGCTTCAGCGGTTGTCTCTTAGGGCTTCTACGCACTTGTTGTTTGCTTCCTCGATGGATAGCTTATACAGATGGACCGGCAACGTTGCTCACGTATCATTGGAATTCAACTTTCTCTGTGCGTGGCTGTTTAGGTCGACATCCAGTTGGCAGCATTGCGGCTGATTCTCTAGAGCTCCTTCGCGACGCAGCAGACTTCTCTCTTGACAGGTTCGGAGGATGTTGTGGATCTTGCTGCCGGGATTTTTCGGGATGATCAGGCAACAGGTACGTGAAGGAAAGGCCCATAGTTCAGTACATCGGTCTACAGGGGTGAACCCATGCGGCATGTATCAGAACTTGACACCCGCACAAATCGTCATTTGTTCTCGCTCCGCTTGGAAGGCTTTCCGTTGTTTACTGCCGGTCCACACACACAGCCCACCCATGTTCATGGTTTTCTACCAGTTTCCTCGGCAATAGGCTGTCGTTGCCAAAGAGCTCTACCAGCCCAAAAGTATTTGCGCCTCTTAACGTGGTCAAACATCGAGCTGAATCGAATCGAAATCGAAATTCGAATCGAATGCTATCGATCTATAGTCTGTGTGGCGTGCTGGTTCAAGTAGCTCAGGAGCTGTCTTTGGTTGCTGGACTATGGCGAACAAATCCTAATGGTTCATGATACGGTATATACTTCTCACAGTGGTGAGAAACCGCTCAGTATTTGAGCGCGAGGACCTCCTCATCCTTACTCTCAACATCCTCACCCGATGGTTCAAAATGACCGCTTCAGCTCTTCACGGGACAGTCATCCATCCATCTCCTTGGTTTGCCTCCTGGCGCCTTGGGTTGATACATCGAACACAGATGCTCGTATTTTATAGCCATCTCTGTGTTTTTCCCATTCGATGGTTGTGCTTTCCGACCAACCAGCTATGGCCATTGAGACCGCCTATCTGGTACCGGTACCGTACTCCACGGTACAGAAAGGAATCCGGTTCACAGGGAGTTAATGTGACTATTTATTAAATACATGCGGTTATGTATGCGTGCGAGTACAGAGTGACCCTCATTTGTGCCAGTCACAACCATCGGGTCACAAAAAACTTTTAACACCATCTTGTTCAGTCTGGGTCTTCAACAGGAAAAGGAAAGTTTCTGCGCAAAGTGTTCTGCTTCTGCTTTCAAAGAACACCCAAAAAGAGCCAGCAATAGCAACAAGGGAGCACAAGCGCCGAAGCAATGCATTGATCCGGCCCAAGCATTCTCAACCAAACCATCCACGAGATGCAGTAGATCCTAGTCGATCCTCGGCTTGTGTTGATGTTACGGTTCTGACACACAAATTGCAATCATCAGAGCAAAAGATACCAAC